GAAATTGACAAAGAACAAATTTAATCAATGAAATTATTACTATTACTATTATTATTACTATTATTTATTTTGTGTGCATGCATGTGTTCAATGTATGGGTATGAGTATGGACATGTACTTGCCAGAGGAGAAATTTGGGGACTTAGTTTTTGCTTTTCATTATGGGTCCTGGGGATTGAATTTGGGGTTCAGGCTTATACAGTGAATTCTTTTACTTGCTGAGCCATCTTACTGGCCCTTAAATACATTTATAAACTAGAATATGCTGTGGTAATAAGGTACTAGAGTATGTAATTCCCATACTCAGACCTAGTATTTTTTAACTCAATTGAGCATCCTAACCAATAATTATTTTCTAATTGTTGGAGGAAGCAAAGTCATTACTACCTAATTGGAAGTGGGATTTTATAGAATTATAATTAAATTTGCTTATTTAGACAGTCAGTCTCGTTAAACTATCATGTGTTAATTCTCACTAGACATATTATGTACTGGTGCAGAACACTCTGCAAGTACAGGGAGTTTTCATATCTTTATGACTCTTTCCTCTCAATATCACTAGAAACCATTCCTCACTGGAAGAAGCAAGCCTGGGACATGTTCACATTATTAATATTGATACACACAAAATTTCCTCCATAAATCCACAGAGAAAAAGCTTAGCTTAGATGTCTTTCAAAATATCAAATTAGAGAGCTGAGGATGTCAGCACAGTTTAGTGAAGACAATTTTTACAAAAGGAAACATACCCGGACCTCTGATTTTGTGGGTTCCCTATCCATAGATTCAGCTAATTACAGATTAAAAATATTTGGAAGAAATGCATCTGTACCGAACATGAACAGACAGTTATCTTGATTAATATATAAACAATGCATCATGGAACTCTTTAACAGTGTTTACAATGTGCAAGGGGCAGGAAGTAGCAGAGAGATAGCTTAGAGTATGTGAAAGGATGTACATAAATTATAGGCAAACACTGCACTGTTTTTATATAGAGAACTAGAGTATATGAGGATTTGGGTACCACAGAAGTCCTGAGCCCAAGGCCCTGGAACCAATTGCCAGGGTATAAGTATATTTTAGCCTTTTATTTGAATCCACCAAAAATATTCAACACAAAACTTTGGTGTGTTAAAATAAAATGGTCAGTCCTGAATTTATACAAGTAACATTATATGGTCTGTCTGATTGGGTTGTATTTATATATTTAGGAATATCTATCTATCTATCTATCTATCTATCTATCTATCTATCTATCTATCTATCTATCTATCTATCAATATATCTATCTCTATCATCTCCCTTCTCTCCCTTTACACACACACACACACACACACACACACACACACACACATATATATATATATATATATTAAAATTAAAGAATTATAGGCCATAAATTTGACAGAGATCAATGAGAAGTACTTCGGAAGGGTTGGAAGGAGGAAATGGAAAGGAAAAAATGATGTAATTTTAAAAATTCTAAATAATGTTAAAATCTTATAGCTTGGCTGGAGTAGTGTTGATGCTTAAAATGATAAACCAACTTTCCTGATTCGTTTGGCAGTAAATATTTGTTAATGACAAGAAATGTAGTTTTAAGCTACGGAGCAGATGGGATTTAGGTATTGAATATGGAGTGTCAGTGCAGGGGTGAGGCACCTTTCCTAACTGCCTTCCCTGGGGGAGTTTGGACTGTTAGAATTGCACTTGAGAGAAACCTGGTTACTGTGTCTATGGATAAGATAAAATGCAGCTTATCTTCCGTTGATCGATACTGTCTTGTTTGAGCTTACTGAGTCAGGGAGAGACACATGTGGTAATGAAAGCCATTGAGCAATAGTACCCAAAGTATTACCCAGCGTCCTAAGGGATGCCGTTGTTTTCAGATAGTTACTGAAATAGGTTTTAGACCAGCTGTCTGTGTGATAATGTTAACATAAACAGTTTCAGAGCCTGAAACTATGGGTGTCAGTAAGAACATGTTGAGTTTTTAGTAGGAGCTCGAGAAATAGTCTGTAAACTAAAAGTTATGCTGTTTGTAGTTGTGTGTGTGTGTGTGTGTGTGTGTGTGTGTGTGTGTGTGTGTGTGTAGGTTTTGAAGCAGTGCAGTGGCTTTTGTAACTAGTGGGTTTCTCTATTTATATAATTTTCTATGTTAATGGAATTGTTCTGAGAAAGCTAGTGGGTGGTAAGTTTGGATAGTCTAAGTTTTTCTGGAAAAATTGTTATAAATAGGAAAATAGAAGAAGGGAGTCAACTTGTTCTTAAACACCAGTGCTCTGCTTAACAATCTTTAAATAGGTAGACCATGTATCCTTTTCACATCTAAAGAATCTGAGAACTTGGGAAGTCAAACAACACACAGCTTCATAAGCCAGGGAGGTCTGGAGTGAGTATGGCAGCCTGTGTCTGCAGAAGAGTCTGGCATTCTTGCTGTAATTAATTTTAAAGATTCTAATTTGGGCATGGCTTTGTTTGGTGGAGGACGATGAAAGTATCTGAGCTCTTGGAAGCTCTGCCTGAGATCACTCTAAACTCTATGATTTCATTTGATACTGGTCATCTCAAATATTAGACGTGGCCTATAAAAGTGATCTATTCTTGGCCTGCAGCCTAAGGAGTATGATTTTGGAGAGATGTTGATAGATAAATGCTCCTGGAAGAAGAGGTTCTCTTATAAAATAAGGTTAGGAAACTGCATGACCTGTTCTTTTGGCTAATGGCAATGAGAAACACCCATGCACACACAGTGAATCCCAGTGACTGAGTACAGTGTGCACATGTGCTCTGGAATTAGACTACCGGGCTGGGTCACCTGCCTCTGCCACTTGCTTTTTAACATTGAGCCTGTTAAGTAATTTGTCTGCACCTCAATCTAATAACAGTATGATATATAGTAGTAATAGTATAATAATAGTGGTAGCCCCATATGGGTGATCTAAGAATAACAGGAGATTGAATTTATAGAGAGTGCTTAGAAATGCACTTAATAATCTAATACTTAATAATATTATTGCTGTTATATTGAAGAGCACCTGAATAGTAAGAAGAGCTGCTTTCAACTGCCTAACATTACTTAACTCAGGGTATTTGGGTGACTATAGAGACACATGTTTATGGCCCCTGCTGTTCCTTACGTGCAGTGCAGGTAATGTTGATACTTAAAACATCACAAATTAACTTGTCATTAGCCTAGTTTAAAATGGCTGCTCATGACTTTGTATCAGTATGTCATTCTGCAAATGTCACTTAAAACTACTTATTTCTTCCCAACTGTGTTTTCTTCCTTTATACTTGACACACATAAATCAGAACAGCAAGATGTACACATTTTTTAAACTGAGAAGTACCAATATTATTCTAGAAATAGCATGAAAGATAAACCACAAGTATCAACTTCTCTGTATTGACAGGGGAATCCCTAATTGCTTGGACAAGTAAGTGATTTCCCTTTTATTTCAGATTCATCCTCTCGCTGTATGCTGCTCAACACATTAGTGTTTCAAGTTAGACTAAATCATTTGATGCTCCTTATCTTAGAAGTTTAACAATATTTGGTTTATAAAACATTAATCTCTTGGGATACACAAATAATTTCCCATTTTTTCCTCTCCTTGGAGAGTCACATCTGTGGCTTTTTCACTAGGACAGACACCTATTTAATGGGGCCTCTCTGTGGTACCTACTCTGATCATGGTGCAGCCACAGCACTTCGGTCAGAGAGCTGAGATTTCTGTTAGAACAGAAAATGCCCTGATCTACCTTCCTCCTTAAACCATCCTACTTGCATGTTTAGCTATCTTTTAGGGGTGAGAGAAATAGTAATGTAAAAATATGTGTGCTGTGCTGTGTTTGTTCAGTCTGTGAAAGAGATCTGATAAATAGCCACCTCGAGCTTGAGAATTAACACACTCAAAAGCGGTCATTTATCTATAGTGGTCTTTGTCTTCTTTTCTTGCTAGAATTAAAAGCAAACAGCTTAGGATATTATTTTGGTTAGCAGGTTAATGGCAGAAGAAATAGCAAGAATTCACCCCAATTCTTTTCTTAGGGTGGCAGCATATAGAAGTTAATCGAATAGGTAGAGTCTAAAGTATTACAGGAATTAGGACGGATACACAGAACTAAAAAATGTTTCTAGAGATGTTAAACTATGTCTTTGGTTAGTTACATTTCTCTTCTGAGGTCCTAGGGACAAGAACAGACAGTGAAGCACAGCCCTCCCCGATATCTGGCTGGATTTATGGGTTGTAGAAATGAGCCCCACTTGTGAACCCACAGTGATTACTCTACTTTCCACCAGCTCTGGAAATGTACTAAGTCAAGGAGTAAATTATGGCATTCATCTCATCTTGAGATTATAGGATCATTCCAATACATTGTTTTGTTTTTCAGTTGGTTTCATTAGTATAGAAGCAAACGGCAGTTCTCTGGCTTAGACTCACAGGCAGTGAAGAGCACAAGTTGTTTTCATGCATTCTCAGATATCATAACACAGAATTGAAACAGAAAACACAAAAAGCATGGGCCATACCTGAGTAATTTCGGAGGTTCCCCACCCGGAAAAAGGTTCCTTGATTATGGCGGATTCCGCCTGCCCCTTTGGTTATATTCTAATCATCGTATCAAACTCCAAAGGTTCAGTGGCTTTAGGTTTGGTTTACAATTCCTGGGAGTTAAACTTTAACTCGCCCTGTCTCTTGCATCCATGCAGCCCTTTGACCAGGTAACTGGGTCACTATGGGCTAAAGAGAAGCTACAAAACTGTCTTCCTCTCTTGTTTACAAAATGAAAATGTGTTTCACATTACAGTCACTGGGGTCAATACTCTTTTGAACCTAGTTTATGGACATAAATTTAAAGGTAGAACTCATTCCACTTTAGGAAACGAAGATTTTCTTTTTGTTGTTACTTCATTTATCTGCAGTAGCAGAGTGATATAACAGACAGGGTAATTTAGGAGACTATTCCATTGTGTCACACTTTTTCTATTACTGTTTTACATGGAGTAAAGTATAGAGTTTTAGGTCAAGTATGTAGATAAATGCTGGCTTACAAACACAAAATCCACAAAGCATTTATATAAACAAGTAGCTGAATTTAGGCCAGATAAATGTTGTAGAAGCTGCTCATTCAGATTTGAAGAGGGAGCTGGCTCTTAAGAACAGAGCCAGTGCTGCTGTTCACAGCTGGAAATCTCAGTAGTAACCCTGTTTCTTAAAGAATACATAATTTGTATTTTTAAAAAAATGTAAACGCTATAGTTAGTTACCCAGCATGAGCACCAGTCTATATAAGTAACCTCAAAGAATTTTTTAAAAAATATATTTACAAGATAAAAACAACCCCCCTACTTCTGAGTGAATTTTGCTTTCAGGCTTGTAAAACAGGCTGTGAAACTGGAATTAAAGGATACTTTCCTTTGGTTTCAGGTCAAGTAAGAGAACCAACTTAGGACATTTTTTTGTCTGTAGAAAAACACAAAACAAGCAAGGGAAGGTACTACAGAAGTACCTTCAGGAGACTGAAGATCTAATGCACTGTTCTTTCTGCCTACAGCTTTACTTAGTCTATCACAAACCTTGATTGACTTGCATTCCCCCCGCCCCACCCCAGTGAGTACATACCTGTCCTAACTAAAGCACCTCTGGAATTATTGATTTGCCCTGGAATTGTACTCACAGAGGTAGCATTCACTGCTTCTCACGTATAGACATCCACAGCTGCACATCTCTACTTATTTCTCCTAGGGAATGGATCCGCTCACCAAGACCCTTCTTGGTTTTCCCAGAAGAAGCTCCATCTGGGGCTTGTCTGGCTCCCTAGTGAGTGAGGTGAGTGAGGGATTCTTACTTTGAGTCGGAGCCCACACAGAATTGTTGATATTGTGAGACTGAAGGTCCTGACAGCAGGGCGTTCCTGATTGTGTGGTAAGTGCCTAGGTAGTGCTAAGTGAGGATTAGGAAAGCAGGACCCCTTTAATAGTTGGTATAGACAGCAAGACATAACAAGAAGAAACAGGAGAGATGATAGATAGATAGATAGATAGATAGATAGATAGATAGATAGATAGATAGATAGATAGATAGACAGACAGACAGAAGCCAACTGACCTGGGGTTATTTCTTATTATACCCTTTCTTAGTTGAAAGTATCCTGCATTAAAATCGGACTCCCTCCTGACTGTGCACTGACTGGGAGCTGTGGCCTGCTGCCACTGCCCAGCCTCTTTGGAGAGTACCCTATGACACAGCACTAGGAAAAGATCCAAATCTGAAACTCCAAGTATGAGTTCTCCTGGAATTCATGTCATGTTTACAGCAGCAAGTGGTTAGATGTATCCAAGTGGAGCCAGTGTGAGGGAGGGAGGAGCAGCTTTAACTAAGAGCCCAGTTCAGGTTGCCATAACAGAATACCACACAGTGGGTGGTTTCCACAGGTCTCACTTTCTCAGGGGTCTAGAGGCTGGAATTCAAAATCAGGTGCCATAGGGTCTCCTTTCCTTGCATGACTTTTCTTGGTATGTGACCATGGAGAGAGAAATTTTGTGTGTTTGTTTTGTTTCATTTTTTTGAGTAGTAGTCCTAGCTGTCCTGGAACTCACTTTGTAGACCAGGCTGGCCTCAAACTCATAGAGATCTGCTTGTCTCTGCCTCCCGAGTGCTGGGATTAAAGGCATGTGCTACCATGCCTGGCTGATACAGAGATTTTAAAAAAATATTTTAAATTACTTTTTCCATTTCTGTATGTGTGGGGGTGTATGCATGCCATAGCATGAGTGTGGAGGTCAGAAGACAAGTTCTAGAAGCTGATTCTCTCTTTGTGCCATGTGAGTCATTGGGATCGAACACAGGTAATCAGGTGTGTTGAAAGGCACATTTACCAGCTAACTCTTCTTGGCCAGAGATACTTTCTAATAAGGTCATTTGTATTATCCAAGGCCCTGCCCTCATGGCCCACCTTAGTCTAGTTATCTTCAAAAGAACCTATTTTCAAATGTCATCATGGTCAGAGTTTTAACATGAGTTTTAGAGAGAAAGTAGCATTCAGTTTATAATTGTTTCACATAAAAAAAGTTCAGCCAGGTGTTGGTGGCATACACTTTTAATCCCAGCACTTGGGAGGCAGAGCCAGGCGGATCTCTGTGAGTTCGAGGCCAACCTGGTCTACAGAGTGAGATCCAGGACAGGCACCAAAACTACACAGAGAAACCCTGTCTCAAAAAACCAAAAAAAAAAAAAATCAGTAGTGTCTTCTTTGATAGGTCCTGACATTTTATAGAGCAGGATATGCTCATGTCAAACCATGACCAACGTTGCTCATGAGGGCTGGTGACACTAATGAATTTGACAGCATTGTTAGGCTATGATTTTTCTTTTCCAGACCATTTTATTACAGCAGCAGGGATGTATTGACCAGAAGTAGAGTGACACACAGCCAAGCAGACTTTTACGAGGGCTACTCATGTTTGGTGCATCCGTAGTTATGGGACAAAGGATCCACTAGATCAGAATGGGATCAACTCAGGACCTTGATTCCATCAGTCTAACCATGGAAGTCCACTATCCTCACAATGGCAATACTTGCCTTTATTTCATTAAAAACAGCCCCAATTTAAATAGTGCCCGGAAAAACACCAATTTCCCACTAGTTTATCCTATAAACTATGCAAGACCTACTTTTTCTTAGGAGTTTTGGTAATATGGTAACTGTTTCAAGTCAGAGATGGTGGACTGGAAGATGGCTCAAACTGTGAGGTACACATTGTGCAATCATGAAGAGCTGAGTTTGGATCCCCAGGACCTTTGTAGAAAACTGGGCACGTGTCTGTAATTCTAGTAGTTGGGGAGAGGAGACAGATCCCTAGAGTTCACTGGCCAGCTCCTCTAGCCAATCAATGAATTCTGTGTTCAGGGAGAGACCCTGTCTCAAAACATAAGGTAGAAAGTCATAGAGAAAGACACTTTGATGTTGACCTCTGGCCTCCAAACATGGTTGTACACACATGTATGCACATCCAAACACAAATGTGCATCCACACATGTACACACAGAGACAGCGACAGAGATAAGACAGACACAGAGACAGAGATACAGAGAAGGGAGTCTATGAGCAGACTGTGACACTACTGTTGCACCAAATATTCTAACAAATAGAAAGGGTAAGTAATGCCTATGGGAACTTGCATTTTTATCTTAGCTGGGTGATAACTATTTAAAATGAGAGGTGATGGGCTAGGGAGACTTCTCAGGCAGGAATGTACCTTCCATGTAAGGATATGGGCATGGATTATGATTTAATTTGTTTTTCATCGACTACAAGGTTTTTAAATTTACAAACTATTGTTCTAGGTTTTAGGGGGTTCATGGTTAACATACCAGATTGAGGTTGCATGCATAAGGAGTAACCCAATGGTAAACACATTACATCTATAATAAATGTTACAAAAGAGAAGCACCGCATGCTAAACAGAACATAAAACATAAGAACTAAATGCAGGGTAGGGATGGGTAACTAAGTAACTCAGGAAAACTCTAGAATACAAGGTATGAAGGTGTGAGGGAACTTTCTAGTTGGTAGAAACAACGCAGGTGAAGTCTGAGTTGAAGTTAGCAGAGCACATTCAAATGACAAGTGGAGCCAATTGTGAGCAGCAAAGGGAAAGGAGTAAGAGAAAGAAAGGAGATGGTGACAGAGTCAGAGCCACTCCTGTACAAGTGTTACAAATTTCCAATGTTAGTCTGTTATACCGGAAGTTCCTGAAGGATTGGAAGGAGGGTAGCCACCTACACTGTTCATATTGTAAGCACAAAATAAAGAAAAAAATATCGTGGAAAAACATAAATATTACCCCCCCCATTGTTTAAATAGTTAACTTGGCACATCCTAGAATCTGCGGGATTGTCTAGATCAGGCTGGCCCGTGGTCATGCCTCTGTGGGATTGTCTTGACTGCTTTCACTGATGTGTAAGACCCACCCTGATAGCAGGTGGTGACATCCCCTGGTTTGAAGCTGTGGACTGTGTAAGAGTAGAGAAAGCTAGCTGAGCACCAAGCACACAAGCACTCATTTCTCTCTGCTCTTGGGGGTGAGTGTGATACGACTATCTAATGACTAGCTGTCAAAACTACCTGCTGTCTTGACTTCCCTGTGCTGATCAACAGTAACCTGGAATTGTGAGCTAAACAAAAACCTCTTCTCCCCTACCATAAGTGGCTTCTTGCCTGGTAGATTATTACAGCATCAGAAATCAAACTTGGATAATCCCCTTTCAGCTGTCTTAGAATTATTTTATTCACACATTTATTCAAATACTTCACATTCTGGATTTCAGAGACAAAAGCGCCAAAGACCATTCAGAGAGGGGGTGAGAGGTGATGATAGCTGAGGTGAAAGTGTTGGCATTGGGTATGAAATACATGCGGTTCGGTCAAATGTGGAGGTGTTGAGGCATAAAAAGGATATGGGAACCAAGAGAGGGATACTTGGGAGCTCTGAGAACTCCCAAATTGCTGGAGGGTGATGCTGTGTGCTGAGATGGCAGTATTCGCAGAGGTAGACTGAACAGGATAACTTCCTTATGCTGTGGCTGTCCCCAGTCACTCATGGGGCAATTATTTGGCTCATGGTTTTAAAT